GGAGCATTCCTAACGAGCGGCCACGGCGAGCTCTTGGCTCGCGTTATCGGTCGGCCTTCAGAAGAAGTCAAAGTGCGGATGAGCGCGCGTGAAGGAGCCGAGGTCACACGAAGCTGCTAGGACAAAGGCGGCCAGATGGCCAATCCAGCCGCTAGGTGCATGGGGACACGATCTGATCGGTCCATTTATTACCTACTTTGTCATCTTGTCCCGTTCAAGGGACACAATAAACAACTTTCTTTCCTTACAACCTTGTTCGTTGTTCTCCTTGTTGGACTGAAAAAAAAGAGTCTGGGGCGGTTCAAATCTAGCGTTAGGAGCCATTACAACAACAACGGCAGTGCACTTGGTGTTCCTAGAGGACGTGCGACAGTTCTTCCGTCGATTCTGACGGGGTCAACCGTTTGCTGCACCGACTGGTGGTGTAGGGACGGTGATTTACGCGTGGATTAGTTTTCACTGAGAGCAGACTTGTGTTGCATCTACCGGCTTCTCTCTTTCCTTACCTGTCCAAACCCGGAGTTAAAAGAGGACCAAGAAGACGGAAAGCTGCGACGTGCGCAGGCGGCCGGAGCCGACATGCCTGGTTCAGATTCCATGGATTGGAAATGCCATAAAGGCCAAGGGTGGCTAGCACGGCTAAGGCTGGTCCTGATAGCTCGACCATCAATTTCGATAAGCAGGGTTGGTTACTGGACTCAGAGATTACATTTAAGTAAAATAGACGCTCAACTGTCTACCTCTTTCTAAACTCTTACCCTTTTGAACTGGGGACAAGACAAAGTCAAGATGACCGAAGGGGCTCGGGCAAAACCGCCTTCTCCAATACAGGCCAGAACACCGCCTAACTTTTTCCTAAGTGGCAGTAGTTCTTTTTGCGCTGGTACTACCACACTATCTACCCTCAATCACCGTCAAGGCAGACTCAAGGAAACTAAGGCCGCTACAGCTACTACTAATATTACTAACTAGGGATGTAGCTGAGTGATAGTAGTGCAGGTTCTATTTCTGGCGCTATTATCAGTCATAAGTGACACTAATTAAAGTCAGCACTGGGCTTTTCTCCATTCAGTTTCAACAAGAAGCGTGAACCTCGGATTATGCGACTCCCAGTTAGTAAACGTTTTAAGTCCGAAGCACATCACAG